ATTGCACTCCTCCTCTGCAAAATGAAAACAACTGGAAAAAAATAAAATGTGAAATAAAATTAAATACTCTCTGTGTTGTTAACATAGTAGAGTGATTGTTTAGTGTAATTAATTCCCTAAAATAAACACTGTATTATTGCAGTGTATGACAACAAAAGCACAGTGTAATGTGTCTTTAAATGGAACATGAAATAGTTGCAGCACTTGTTTATATCAAGGTGCATGTAAAGTAAGTACATCCACTTTTGTACCGTACTGTCATGCACACAAATTAGTATTATTGAAATGTTCTACTGTTGTTATTTTTGCAATTACAGATTATGTTGATAATAGTTTTGGTTAATTAGCCACATATCCAGCATTTATGCCCAAATTTACATGCACTCCTACCAGATATGAGTACAGATATGCCAAGATGAACGTGATGAACAACAAAACAGTCCATGAATTTGTGTGCGCTCATCTTACGGTCAGATGTGACCATAAACATCTTTAATGAACAAGAACCAAAGTGAGAAAAGTGAAGCAACTGAATATATGGAGGTGAAGGAAAGTTAATTAACAGATAATTAGCGGGATTAACATATAAGTGCTAGTAAGTTATCACGTTACTTCTTTACATGAAGAAAAATACTTATTAGTTAATTAACAATGTAATAAGCAGCAATTAGCACACAGATAACGAGTAAGTAAGCCACAAACTAACGACAAACTAACTTATCAACTAACAGTGTACTTAATTACTAATTGATAAGTGCTTAATCAATTACTAAGTAATAGCTAATGCTTAATGAAGAGTTAACTAGTAACTAAATAATGGGAAACTAATAGTTGATAATTATATATTTAATGATTGATTAGCGACCCTTAATGTAAAGTGTTACCAATTGTGTTTTCTATTTGATTAACCAGGTAAAACATTTCAAGTACTCTAACTTGTTTTTAAAAGATGATCAGAATAACTTACCTTTGTGTCTGCAAGAGTTTCAGATTGAACTGAGGGTGTTAAAAAGGCAGGCAGTGTGAGGTAAAGGCTCATACTAGCTGTGCCTTTAAGGCTACACCAGAGAGGGAAGTGGTGATGGTTAAGGTGCTTATTGGCTGGACCTGGTGAGGTGGGGCAGGGTGGGCATGGCTGAAAGGATAAAATATTTTAACAAAGAATTCCTTCTCACGGACCTTGATAAGTGATACGTGTCTGTTTGTTGTGCGCTGTGCACAGTTTTGTCATTCATTGTGTTCATCATTTTACTTTTGAGATCAAAACACACAGTTAAACTCACAAATTCCTCCTACAAACTTTGCCACAATGAAACGAGAAAGGAATTAATCAAATTCTGTTCCAGTCAGCATTAAAGGCATAAGTGCTGTTTGGAGGTCTTCACCATCACAACCCAGATATAAAGCGAGAGGAGACAGTTAGCCATGATACCCATTTACTACATGAGAGAACCCAGTCAGTGATGGACAAAATACAAACACCAAATGAAGACAGAACAACAACATTAACACATTTGTTTGGTTTTTTTAGCCAATCAGAAAATTAGATACACAATCCAGCAGATCCAATCAAACCAAAAGATTTAGCTTTAGAGATCTTCCAACACTGCATTTCATTCTGTAACTTTTGGAACATTTACATTTGTTAAACACCAAAGACATAATTTTTGCACGTTTGTAACCGTAATATCACAATATGACAAAAGAAAGCTTGTCTCCTCTGTAGTTAATGACAATCAGTAGGAACCATCAGGGCCTTCTAGACATTCAGAAAAAGCCTAATGATTTCAATTCTGATAAAACACGACTCATTACCTTCATTGCATACTTAAACACCTTTGTTTTTTGTTATTTAAGATACTTCCAATGCATATTCCCACTTCAGATTTACTCACATGATGTCTTTTGACTTTATACTCATAAATAGAAACAAAAAATTACACATTCATAAACATAAAAATTATAATAGAAAATAATAATGCTTGGTAATATTTCATGCCATTAGCAGCAATCGTATTGAAAGCGAAGAAGTTATCTAGAAGTTTTCAGGGACTTTAATAAACAACACTTGGATGGTAAAAGCTACAATGTAAAGGCCTTAAATATCCCTCTATACAGCCGGTTTGATAATGTGCAAATGAAAAGTTAATGTAAGGTTATGCACAGGTGCACCATGCAAAATTTCTCTCAGACTAATGAAGATAGAAGATAAGAGAGACACCAGAAAAAAGTCTTTCAGCATGTTCTGAAAGCAGCAGGACAGCAGTTACATTGAGGACAATAAGCAATGAATTGGACAGCAAACAAATTCACTCTATGACTGGTTAAAAAAGTTGAAGGTGCCTGCCGGCCCTAGTGCTGGAGAACCCACCGCCCTACATATTTTAGTGTCTTTCTGCTCCCAATTCACTGATCCAACAAAGTAGTCCAATAACAAGCCCTTCTTGAGTTGAAGTGGGTGTGTAAGAGCAGGAAAACAACAAAATGTGCAGGGCAGGGCAGCAGGAGGTTCTCCAGGACCAGGGTTGGGAGCCTGTGGTCTGGACAATCTCCTGACTTGAATCCCATTGAAAATTCATAAAGACTTTCGAATTTGCACGTCCAACTGAAGATGGTTTGTCAAGAGGAATGGGCCAAAATTGAACTATAATGCTACAAAAAGTTCATCACGTCCATAGAAGTCTCAAAGCTCTAATTGACAGCAAAGTGCGGCAACACTTTATTTGGATAGTCCACTTTAGAAGCTTTGCAGATACTTAATTAAAGTTACATATTATATGTAATTAACATATTATTATTATTATTATTATTATTGTATCTATATATACATACAATTATACTTAATTTCAAGTTACACTCAACTAAATATCTACTAAATTGACCATAATATTCTTTAACTCTAAACCTGCTCTAATCCTAACCCTAACCTTAAACTCAACCCACAACCTAAACCCAACCTTCACCGTGGTCCTAGCCCTAACCCTGGTCCAAATTCTAACCCTAACCCCACCACTGTTTATAATTTCAACAGATAGTTTGTTAACAATTTGAACATCTGTAGATGATCTATAGGGGACTATACCAGTAGTAGTACTGTTATTTGGTTCAGTTAGTTTCACACTGCAAAGATTACAATGGATTAAACTGGACATGCAGGACTTTGTTTCTTGGTCAGGGATATGAGGGCTCTGTTAGTCTCACATTTATTACCATGAAAACAGAAAAACAGAAAAAAGATGCTAAACATCTAAGTGAATAACAATCAGAGCAATAAAAATAAACCTTACTTCAGACCTGTTTCTGTATGACTAACTAATCAGGTCGCTGATGCTTGGCTCAAAATACATTTGCTCTGTCATTATTAAGAGCAGCTCATGCTACAAGAATGATATGAGCATGTGCAAAGAGTGAAATGTTAGAAATGGACTGAGACCCGTGCACAGGTGGCATCCTATCACGGTACCATGCTGGAATTCACTGAGCTCCTGAGAGCGACCCATTCTTTCACAGATGTTTGTAGAAACAGTCTGCAGGCCTAGGTGCTTGGTTTTATACACCTGTGGCCATGGAAGTGAATGGAGCACCTGAATTCAATGATTTGGATGGGTGAGTGAATACTTTTGGCAATATAGTGTATGATAAGGATGTGAGGTGACATAAACTTTAGACTACTGATGGCAAAATATGTAGTCTGCACAGTGTTCAGTGAAGATAAGTGCAAGTGCTTGTGAAATTTGGATGAAACACTATTCATCACATTCATTACACACTCAAACACTTTGTCCTTGTTATCCAAGCAATCGTGGTGAAGCTGAAAGTGCTTTCCAAAGTTCTCAAGGACAACATTAAAACACTTGGATGGAAAAAGCCACAGAGTCAAAGCAAAGACCTTGAACATGCATGTCAGTACAGCTCATTCGATAATGTGATGATATATTTTCCATGAATATCATGGAAGTTCATGGAAAATTTATCTCAGACTAATGATTGAAGGAAACATGAATGGATCGATGTACTGGGAGATATAAGTAAAGGTAAAGGTGCTTGCATGGTCTAGCCCAGTGGCTCCCAACCCTGCTGCTGGTGAACCCCCTGCCCTACTCATTTTGGAGTTTTCCTGCACAGCACACCAGTTCCAACTAAGCAGTTCATTAGCAGCCCCTTCTGAGTTGAAATGGGTGTGTTAGAGCAGAAAAACACAAGAATGTTCAGGGCAGGGTCTCTCAAGAATGTGGGTTGGGAGCCTGTGGTCCCACCAATCTCCTGACTTGAAACCTATTGGAATTGCATTTTGCAATAGCAACAAAAGGACCTCTGTGGCTGCAAAAAGCCTCTTGCTGGATAATTTTGGCTGTTGGGCTTTTCTCAGTCCAGCAGTGACACTGAGGTGTTTAGAATCTCCGTCTGATCCACTTGTAGCAGTGCAATACACGCTAACATGCCACAACCACACTGTCCAAAAATATGTGGGCACCTGACCATCACATGTATATGAGCTTGTTGGACAAAAACTGTGTGCATTAATATTGAGTATATTTGTGGCTATAACAGCCTCCACTCTCCAGTTTCTAACAGTTTCAGTGTTAAACTGTTTTCAATTAGAAAATCAACAAAACATGTCATTTGACCAGGGTATTCAAAGTTTTCCATAAGTCTGTTTGTATGAAATATGCTAAAGACATCATTATTATTATTATTATTATTAGTAGTAGTAGTAGTAGTAGTAGTAGTAATAGTAGTTGTAATAGTGGTAGTATTATATCATCGTGATGAAACTTTTCAGCTGTTATTTTTCAGTACCAGTAGAATACGGCAGGCATTCTTCACATTGTATGAATGTTTCATGATGAATAGATCAAAAGAAAAGCTCCAGAATTGCTTGGAACAAAATGTCCTTCCATCGACTTACATTAAAAGAAAAAAAAGGCTTTTGCCTTCTTTCTAATCTGATCAACCTGAGTGAGTTTAAAGCTTTGATAAGAAATAACCGAGAGTGCAATTCCTCTTCTTAAGCTGGGTATTGTGTTTTGTATGATGTGTCTTTTTCTTTGTCTGTTTCTTTTTAAATTCACTCATGTCTTTTTTATCATGGTTGTTTTATGATCTTTAACTGGAAAGGGTGTGATATCTTGGCCAGATCTCTCTTGAAAAAATATGTTAATCTCAAGGCACTTTCTGGTCAAATAAACATCAACTAGAAATAAAAAAATACTCTGTTCCTCAGAAAAGGGGTGTAAAGGTGTCTGATACTCCTTTCTGTGGAGTGAGAATCAGTCACCACCTTCTGCATCTGAGAGCTATTTAAGAGAGATCACAGACTCTGCAAATCACTGAAACCTGCCACTCATCTTCCTTGAAGAGGTTTGACAACTATTTTCTGCACGCAGCTCTTTCTCGTAAGTGTCATTGATCTCCTTCATGTAAAGTTTGAGCATAATAATTTTGGTTTAGAAATTGCTGCAGTTTTTAATGTCATTGCAGAATAGAATCATTTTTTGTATTACTTTGACTTTGCTATTTCAGCAGACTGAGTAGACAGTAATAGGTAATAAGACAGTAAAAAAAAACACTGTTAGTAACTCATAACAAATACAGTCATATGCAAAAGTATGAACACCTATGGTCAAACTACATCCTCTACAGAGGACAAAATTAAATATGGCATCTTTCTGGAAATGTTAGTGCACAGTTTCTGTTTATTTGCTGAGTTTAACATAGTGGAAAAAAGTAAAATGTAAAATCTAAATAGTGCCATGACTTTTTCACAGGTCTTATTTTGTTTTATTTGTCCCCAATATGTAAAATTCAGAAATTAAACAGTAATTCTGCATTAATATTTAGAGGATGTGTAAACTTATTTTCACTCAATCGATCATTAAAGATTTGATGTGACCACATAATAAACATAGTACATAGAATTATTAATTCATCTTTATTTATCAACTAAAGAGCAACCCCACTGAAAAGGTGATGGAATTAACAATAAAGATTGTCCAGATTTTCCAGTAAGGGCCATTTAACCAAATATCAAAGTGACCACATGAAACAAGACCACTTGATCTACTGCTGTTGAACACTGGGTTTGGGTTTGGGTTTGTGAAACTAATAAGCATGTTTTTGGTCACACTTTATGTGGATGGTCCCCTGTAGATGCTCTACAGATACCTAAATCATTAACAAACTTTCTACTCAGCTGATTATCAACAACAGTATGGTTATGGTTAGGGTTAGGAATAGGTGTAGGTTTTGCCTTGAGGTTAAAGTTAGGGTTATGTTTAGGATTAGGAATAGATTTAATAATATTTTTCATACTGAACTTGAAGTTCACTTTTATTTAATAGATATTTAGGTGAATGTTACTTAAAAACAGACTGAGCATTTGCAAAGCATCTACATTGGACCATCCAAATAAAGCGTTGCCATGTTTTTTAATCCCTATATTCATTTTCCTGTTGGAATGATGAAAAGTAATAATATATAAGCTGTGTAAATATATTATTTCAGGCTTTGAAAGCTACACCATGTCTTACCTGGTACCTGTCCTTCAAATTGGTGGACGTGGAGGTAGCGCGTTCAACTTCAATGGCATTGACTCTGGAGCAACGCTGGAAAAGATAGGTGCATGGGCAGGAGGCTGGCAGATAAAATCCATCAAGATTTGGCTCACCAATGGCCAGTCCAGGCAGTATGGAGACCCCAGTGATGGGCCTTACTCTGAATACACATTTAAAAAAGGAGAACATATCACCTCTCTTTCACTGTGGGGGAACGGAGCTGGAACCCGTCTAGGTGCCATCAAGTTTACGACAACTCTTGGCGGCGAATTTTTTCCACAGATGACCTCATGGGGCCTGAAAACAGAGTATCCCATTGATATCGGCTCTGGCATCTGCATGGGAGTCATTGGAGGTGCAGGTGCAGACATCGACAGCTTAGGGTTCATATTCATCAACACCATCAAGTCTGCTGTCCTTACCAACGTCGATTATCCCACCCTTCACAATGTCATTCCTCAGGTGGCTATAGAGGAGGTGAAATCCATGACTTACCATAATAAAACTACTCTTCCTCAGCAGTATACAATAGAAACTACAAAGAAAATCATCAAAAAGTCCTCCTGGTCTGTGACCAACAAGATAGAATGGACCTTCAACGTGTCGGTGAAAGCAGGAATTCTAGGTTTGGTAGAAATTGAGAGTGGATTCAGCTACACAAAGGGAGTCGAATCTACATACTCTCTGGAGAATTCTGAAGAAAAAGAGGAGAAGCTGTCTTTTCCTGTCCAAGTTCCTCCTGGAAAAGCAGCGGATGCGAAGATCACCATCGGCCGGGCTGTTGTAGATCTTCCATATACGGGTAAAATGAAGATCACCTGTTATAATGACTCTGTGCTGACGTTCAACATCAGTGGAATCTACAATGGCCTCACTTACACCATTGCAGGTGTACATGTAGAAGAACATAATGAAGCCTAGTCAGGTTTCCCCAGCAACTTAAAGAGAGAGATTTAAATGAGGGGAAAAATCAGAATAATTAAGCTCTTTCTTTTCTTTCTGATACATTCTACTGTATAGTTCAACACTTTTCTCTTTTTTCTTAGCTAGATTTGCTAGATTGATCCATGTAGGCTGTTGCTTGGTGACTAATTGTAATAAAGTGGCCTATAATAGCCTTGATATCAGCAGGTAAAAAATAAGACAAAAAAGCTTTTCATTGTTTTTTTTAAACATTTATTTGTAGTGAAACTTTTTTGTTTGATTGATTGATTTATTAGCGTTCATTACTCATTTATGAATTTCACTTTCTGCATCACTTGTTGAAAGTATTAAATACTATGTATGTGTCTTTGCATTCAACACTAACTTTACAGCAAAAAAATGATATTTTCACTTTAATTCGCTCGATCATTTATGTGGAAATAACACGTACACACACTTCAGCTCTGTTCTGTGTGAGATGAACAAAACATGTTAAAATAATAAATAATAAAATCAATCCTACTAATATAAAAAGGTGTGAATCGTCTCTTTTCCTCTGTAGATCTGAACACAGTTTCCTCCACATGCTTAGCTAACCGTGCTGAGGACTGCAGACCTGACGTAGCGTAGCAGTTCATCTGTCTCTTGATTGGTTCTCTGTTGATGTCAGTGTTGCTCCACCTCATCCTGCACAATTTCAAAACTGGAAAACAAATAAATCCAGTATGTTTACACAGTGGCCAAATAAACAAACGTGTACACATTTTTCAACCCATCATTCAATGAATGTGAAACCATCAGTGTAATAATAGCTAAATGTTAAATGGTGCTGCTGTCTAGGAGAGAGGAGCTGGTTACCATTAGCTTAGCATGCTAACAGCTCTGCTCACCACAGAACATATTCGATTCTGGCTGACTAAAGCTGAGCTAATCCATGTTTACATGATAATGATCCAAGTCTGAGTCAGGTTGAAGATGTTGGAAGGACACAAAGCTGAAATCAAACCCGTTATGTCATTTTTGGGTCTGCAGCCTGCTAGCTAGGCTAATGCTAGCTGGGTCCTTTCCTCATAAGCTTAGCTAGTGGGCTACAGACCAGTGCAGTTTCTGACTAGTGGTCTTCTGTCCCATATGGAAAAAATACATATTCCAAATGTATTTGTCAAATATATTTCAACAATATAAGAAAATGGCCAAAAATGTATTTGTTAAATATATTTTTTAATGTATTTATTTGTATTTGTTACTTTATTTTTCAACTGTATGTAGTTTTAACAAAGGTTACAGAAATGGTGCTGACTTCTGTGTTTTGCATTGTACTTTGCATTAACCACGTACGTCTGCAGTAAGACGCTCACACACCAGGTATCTTTAATAAACAGGATATCAAATCTAATATTTAAAATTTATATACTGGAATACAAATTCATTTCAAAAGATATCCAAACAGTAAAGTACATTAGACAGGATTCTGGCTATTTTCATACATTTTCAAACATATTTGAGAAACACATTTGCATACATTTCTTGTTGTATGGTACATTTCTAGGCGTAATATGTCCCCATATATTTTAAAATAATTGTATTATAAAATATGTTTGGTTAATATGGCAATATATTCTGAAATACATTTTAGTGCTTGGACTGTATTTTGGTATAGACTGCAATGTGTTTGGAATGTATTTCAAATATACAAAAGTGCATGTCTATATATTTTTTTCTGTATGATGTCATAACAGTAATAAGTCACTGGTGTTGGAGTGACAGAAAAGCAAAATCGAGCTATACTGCTGGGCTAAGCTAATGCTAGCTTAGCGCTGAAACTGCCAACTACCACAGGCTCAGTTCCATGAACTGATGCTCAAATAACACACGTTTAGAGGATAAAGAACCTGAGAGCGCATTCAGGCTGATCTCACTACAGGATACTTGTGAGTCTGTTGATAATAAAGCTGATCTCACTGCAAAACATAATGTATATGAGCAGAAACTACTGTGCTGGATGACAAACTGACCCATCTGTAAGTCATTCTTATGGACAAAGCATGTAGTGGAGAGCGAAATGTGCTGGGCTTATGATTAACTTGGATCATGAGAAGCAGAAAATGCAACCATCTTGTAAGCCTGAACTTTGGAAATAAATCATTTGTAGAAAATGATCATGCATGCACATTTAGGATGATCCTAAATGAGACACCTCTTGTACACTGCTATTCATTTCTATGGTAACACTGTATGATGCATTAGTGCCATCTACTGGCAGAGAATGGAATTAGGTATAAAAAGGAAAATATGATGACTGAGTGTTTAATCTCTTCACACAAGTTCAACAAAGCAGCCTAGTTACTTTTTTGTTAAGATTTCCTGAAGATTTTTATGAAGATTTCATTCAAAATGTCCAATAAATAAATAAATAAATAACCTTGTCAGAAATATAGATCTTCAAAAGCAATGTTAGTGATTTGGTGCTGTGTAGAACCATTTTTAAAAGGTTCTTTAACGATGTAAAGAGCCACTTAAACATTCAAATGGTTCTTTAAATTCTCCATGGGTGCAATCCTGGCAAGGAGAGACTTAAAAGTAAATGTTTGCTGCTGTTAGCCTAACAGGTGTTTATGTACTGTTTGTGTGTTATTGGGTCCGGCTGTGGGGAAGTGTGTCTACTATGGACACTATCTACTGAGGGATGTACCCTTAAGGGTCCCACCTCAGTGACCGTTTCTTACTTTTTTTCCGAGAGTGTATCAGGTCTTGTTTTTGTCCTTTTTAAATATTACTGTTCAGTGGTCTTTAAAGACTCTTGTGTCAGTGCACCTTGCAAGAACCTGATCTGTACTTGTAATGACCTGATGGTTCATTTTCTCAAGACTAATGGTAAAAAGCAGTTCTTTTTAGATTAATACATGATCAATGATCATGAATAATAATGATCATCGAACAATGATCATGAATAACAATGGTAAATGATCATGAATAATGATTGTTTTCTATACAGTTTCTAGAAAGGTGATAAAAGTTTCACAAGCTATCTGGCTTATCAGTGAACAGTTTACATGCTTGTATGGGAGCAGCACATTGATTCACAGTGTTTCTCATCAATCTGAAATAAGTGGAGGAATGTGAGACTGTCCTCACCACTTCAGACTGTATGCTCATATGATCTGAAATACAGCTGGGTGTTTTTTATGGTTTCATTAGCCTGCTGTTGGATCTTTGTTCCCTGCAGCTATATGAGTAGTTCCACCAGTAGTTAAAAATCAAATGGATGTATTCTTTATTATTTCTACGCAATATAATTTGGAAGGAGAAGCCCCCTAGGGTATGATAACACACCCCCCAAACCCCCCACCCGCCTCCTTATATTATATCCTAGTCAAATAATTATGGCCTCGCAACACCTTAGCAACCAACCTGGGATACCACAGCAACTGCCTAACAACACCTTAGCAACCACCTAGGATAACACAACAATGGCCTAACAACACCTTAGTACCAGGGACGGTATAGTAATGGCTCAGTAACATCTTAACAACCACCTGGGATACCCTAGCAACATTTTAGCAACCACCTGGGGTTCCATAGAAACCAGAGTTTGTAAAGCCAACTTAAAGTTTGTTTGTTGATTGTTGATTCATTAGTCAGGTTGGGCTCTTGTTTACGTGTTTACGTGTAAGTGTCAAAAAAAGTTGTTTTTTGAGAGTTCCTCTAGCTTTTGATGATGTATATCAGCTGATCCCTTACTATGTAAGGGAGCATACAGATTCTGTCAAACACCGAAACCTGCTATCAACAGGAAACCTGTTCCCTGAAGACCTGAAGAATTTTCTATCTACATCTGTCTCACAGATTTATTTTGTAAGTTTTACTGATTTTCTTCATGTAAAGATTTTTATGCTGGATATAAATCAAATTATGGTAAGAATTTATTTGGATAGTTCACTTTAGAAGCTTTGTAGATACTTAATTTTCTTTCAAATTATATTAAACTAAATATAATTTTCTTTAACCCTAACCTTAACCTCAACCCAAAACACAAACCCAACCCTCACCCTGGTCCTAGCCCTAACCCTGGCCCAAATCCTAACCCTAACTCCACCACTGTTTAGGATTAGCTGGGTTTCAGCAGATAGTTTGTTAATAATTTGAACATGACAACTGATGTAATGTATTCCAGCACTTCTAACAGTAGTGAAATACACTACACATTGTGCAGTCTCTACAATATAATGGATTATATCCTCCATTTCTATTCACAGAAACAGGTGTCCTCAGAGAAGGCTGGGGTCATCACACCACACTGTACTGGCTGATGTCCCTCATGTGTGTTTTGATCAGAAACCTTAAAGGCTAATACATCTATATTTGGCAGTGTGAACCGATTTGCACATCAGCTTACAAATGGGACAACTGCTAAAATACTACAGTATTCAGTAGACCAGTCTGCATACCTCTTGTGTTTAGAAAAAAAACACCATTCTTTTCTGCAGGAGCATGTGTGCCAGTGTTTCCTCTGAACAGTAGTTCACCTTTAAAGTCCTCTTGAAGTCCACTGTGTATGTGTCCTACCTTCAAATTCACTTGGTTCTAAATATTACCAAGTGATTATGTAATTATTGTCTGTTAGATAATGAATGAGGTGTTGCTGTTCCTCATTTGGAGCTAATGGTGATCAGGAACAATATGAAGTGATATGCATGGTGACTCATTATTAATGAACAAGGTGTTATTGTGTTCTTCATTAGGAGTTAATGATGATCAGGAACAGTATTATAAAGTGAAACACATGGTAACTCGTTATTAATGAACTAGAAGTTCATGATGATCAGGAACAGTATTATAAAGTGTAACACATAGTAACTCATCATTAATGTACTAGAAGTTAATGATAATCAGGAACAGTATTATAAAGTGATATAGATTAAATAAAACCACCTAAAGAATATTAATGAATAAGTTTTGAAAAATAAGTTGTTTATTGAGTCCTTTTTAATTTGTGAACAGTCCAAATGTGAAAACATCCCTGAGTTAGCTAGCTATATTATTGAAAATAATATGCCCAAACAAAATGAAATCAAAATCTGTGATTACTACTGAAGGAGAAAGTCTGAGAGCTGACATTGATCACAGTATATTCTGCTAGTACATTAATTACATATCTTTCTGTTTCATGTCTGAGGCACAAAGTTTCACTGCCTATTAGCTTAGCTCACGATAGCTAAATTAACTACCTAGCTAGTATGCATTCATAACAGAACATCAGCAGCAGCTTTAGGTTTAATAAAGTACTAACATGTGCTTATAATTCTGAAACAACACAGCAAAATAGACATTGTATAAGAGGATTTATTTAATTTGTTTAATTCTACACTAAAATCTTTATTATTTTAAATGTCAAAACCTGTGTTTATACTATAAATAGTACAGTAATAATAATAATAATAATAATAATAATAATCATCATCATCATCATCATCATCATCATCATAATGATCATCAGTAGTAGTAGTGGATTGTGGTGATAGA